AACATAAATGAGTGTGTAGAGGTAGTGTGAAGATGTAGCACCATAATTGCACATGCCCATTAAGTGCATAGTTGAAAGAAAGTAAATTTAAAACATAACAAACAAAAAAACAAAAAAAGTAAACAAAATATAAAAAAAGGACCAGCAGCATTTAAAACCAGCAGCATTAGAAGTTCAAGAATTTAAGAGTCTCACAGCTTCTGGAAAGAAGCTGTTTTTCAGCCGGGTGGTTCTTGCCTTTATGCTGCGCAGCCTTCTTCCTGAGGGGAGGGGGCAAACAGTCCATTGGCAGGGTGGGTGGAGTCCTTCATGAAGCAGAGGGCCTTCCTCCTGCACCTGGTGGCATAGATGTCTGACAGTGAATTCAATTAACTACAATGGAATATAATATATAATTAAATTATTAGTAAAAACAATTAACAATAATGTATTAATACAAAATCATAGGCATACATTTTAAAGGAAAAAACTCACAAAGTGAAGGAGTAAATAACAAGGCAGAATGTGATCTGTGATAAGATGAAGTGTTGTGTTGGTTGTCTCTTGGTCTGTCACATGTGCTGACATATCGTACTGCATCTATGGCGCTTACAGTATTTTCTCCAAGTAGATGTTGCATTTTAGTCTGGTCAGAGAGTGTTTCAAAATCTTAAAGTTGACATTTACTTTTTGTAAAGAACTTTGTTCTGATGTTTTCCTATGTGCTACATTGTAGCAGGAAATGTTGCTCTGTCCCCATCTGTCTCTGTGGACAGAGCTGACAGAGCCTGTCTTCTCCAGGCAGCCAGGTCTGTCTGTGTCTGCCAGTCTCTATGGCCAGGCTGTGATCACTGAGTCTGTACATAGTCAGCAGTGTCTTTCTCAGTTTCTGAGTTTCAGATAGTTTGCCACCATTGTGTACTGTCTGTTTAGTGCCAAATAGCATTTGCAGGGACGGTTTTTGCTATGGGCAATGTGGGCGACCGCCCAGGGCGCAATCAATGTGAGGGCGCACGAACGCCCTAAAAAATGTTTTTAAAAAACTCGCCAGTTTTCTAGACTACAGCTCATTTCCACATCAAGTTAGTGGAGTGGGTGCTGGGGCGCCCCTATTATCACGTTTCAACCAGCAGCAGAAAAGAAAGGCGAATCCTGACGGTTGTGGATTGAACTGGGGTCACAGAAAGGAATACGGTGGAGGCTCATAGTGCTCTGCGGCGCAAGATAACGGCTTACCAGCGACAGAGACTGCCCAGTATCACCTGAGGGATGGTTCACCCAGGGCGTAAAACTAGCCAGGACCGCCTCTGAGCATTTGGATTCTTGCAAATAGTTGATGCACTTTTCTTTTTCTTTAGCTATAATTTCTCTCTCTAGTGAGTGGTGACATTTCATCTGATGCTTCATTCTTGAGATTTATTTCACCAGAACTGTTTTAGACTAAACTTTTTTAACTTTTTTTGTCACTGGAAAATTGAGATTGTGATTTATGCATTTATATTAAGTTGTACATAAAAAAGCTTATATAAATAAAGTTAAAATGTAAAGTTAGACTCTTTGGGACAAGAAGCTCCCCTATGAAGAGGGTGAAAACTTCCAGTGACATCTTGCCTTAAAAATGTTTTTGGGTTGATTATCTAGTATATAATCATATGTGACTTTACAGAGGTCATATCTTCATGTAGTAGTAGTAGTATGGTGTTGTAGTTTTAACAGCTTGCTAGTGTACCTGGATAGCTAGCAGCCATTACCATTGCTTGTCATCTAAAATTAGCCAGCATTTTTAACAAGCATGTTGGAGGAAAACATCCTGAAATAAAATTAACCTGAGGAAAAGGCTAAATGGGGGCGTCGGTGGCTTAGTGGTAGAGCAGGCACCCCATATACAACGCTGTTGCTGCAGAGGCCCGGGTTTGAGTCCAGCCTGTGGCCCTTTGCTGCATGTTTCTCCCTCTCTCTCTCTCCCCCCCTTCACGCTTCACTGTCCTGTCCATTAAAGGCAAAAAATGCCCTAAAAAATATCTTTAAAAAGAAAAAAAAGAAAAAAAAAAAAAAAGGCTAAATGGCCTCTAAATAATCTATTAATGTGTCAGGGTTGGATTTTACTTTGTTTATTTAGTTAGACAGCTCGTTTTGTAGCTTGGGGGCTTCTTGCCCCAGGCAGGGTGCAGAGTGCCCCAAGTAATGGGGTAAGATGCCCTCTTATAAGATTGATCATCTGTCATTGTCATTATCCCTAAAAATCAATCCAAGTTGTGAATATTGTCATGTGAAGTTCACTGGTAACTGTGTATGCTAATGCTGTTTACCAAACGGACCACAGTTCTCCCGAGATAATCAGACGGGACAGCATGTGCTCCCACTTCAGAGGGCCAGAGGGCTCTGTCATGTATCTTTGCCGCCACCATACTGCAAACTTTGAGGGCCTTTCTCTCAAAAGTATGATATGGTGACAGTCATGTAATGTGACATATTGTGTACAGAAACAATACTGATATTATTAGAAAACTAAGAATCTCCTCTTTCGAACAGTGTCTGGGTCCAGACCTGGATGGAGAGGGATGGCAGGTTAAAAAGGAGGATGCATTTTGGTTATTTTGCTAACAAGGGAGATGGCAACCCCCCTTAGTGCCCCCTCAAATCACCCACTGCCTGTAACACTGTTCCGTTAATATCAAAATTGATGCAGCTGATCCTGAGATATCGTCTTTTATATTCCACACCCTGCAGCAACCTTGTGGCTTTACAGACAGGATCTATTTAAGTCATGGCTGAAAATTCTTTGCTGCACAAGACACTGACATTGAGAAGTCTGGGCTCCAAAAGATACTTAAAAGTATCAGGAGTGTCCTCTGTCCATGGTTCTGAAGTCTGCTGCTGCAATGCAACAGTGTAAGCTTTTCACAAGTTCCCCCTGATGGTGCACACTGTACAAACCACTGTACTATCTGTATCTGGTTTGTACACAACAGTCTAATGTGGTCCATGTGGACAGTTTATTTTAGGTACACATTAAAACTTTAAATCCCAACCACCAAACAAAAAAACAAAAGCAAAAAAAAAAAAACAGAAAAGAAAAAGAAATCTTTTTTTTCCTTCACTCGAACTAATTTTTGTAGGAAATACTATAATACTTTACTACCTTAGGTCTTATTACACACCTCACATCATCTCACAGTTTGGATTCAAAACTACTGTGAATGCTGAGAGAATGTGTGGGGATATGAGGGCACTGAGTGTCAAAAAAATCATAGTGTATAAAACATTTACATTACATATTGAATTACATTAGCAGACTCATTTAAAAAAAAAGCCTTGCTCAGAAAAAAAAAAAAAAACTTGGACGGGAGTCCAAGTAATAATGACATTTGTAGTGTCAGCACTCCTCACCAGAGCAGTACACGACAGGCGAAAAGGGAAGCTGATATTAAAATGTTAAATAAGATTAACCCTTGCAGGCAGGCACAAACATGAAGCCTGCAGTGGGGCCCACGGACTGGGGGTACCATCTTTACCTGCTGGATGTGACATTTTATGCCTTAACAAAATGTCCTGCAGTCACCAAGTCCAGTATGACATGCTGAGCTGTTGACTTAATTAACGGGACACTTATTAAGCATGAGGCACTGAGACTAACTTCATCTCAACATTTATCAGAGCAGGAATGGATCACTGTCCAACACAAGATATGCATGCAGAACTGTGTGGCCAGGATAGGGCCATCTATCTGTGTGTCACACACACACATGTGCACGTACACACACACACGCACACACACACACACACACACACACACACACACACGCATATTGGCTTGACACACATGAAGACAAACTCTCTTTCACTCAATTAACTCTCCTTTCCCCAGTCTCTCTCTGTCTTTGTGTCCAGTGGTGAAAGAGGTATTCACCATTTCTGATGGTTGCACTGAAGCAAAATTACAACAACGTGAACATAATAATGTTTACATTGCTGTAAACAGGACAACAGTGGACATTTAGTAAAAGACCTGCATTCAAACTACCATTAAAGTAAATGTACAGAAATATTATAAGCAAAATGATGTTAAAGCATCAAAAATAAAAGTAGGCCTACCCACTGTTTATGCAGTAAAATGTCCTCTGTTACTGATTTCTAATTATATATGATATTTTGATACGTTACTGTAATAGTGATGCATCAATGTGTAGAGAACATTTTAGTGTTGTAGCCGCTAAAGGTGGAGCTAATTTTAACTACTTTTGATTCATGTTTTCCCATGCTAGGACTCGGACCCCTTAAGACAAATACAAAAGTTGTGAGATAATGAATAGTAGAAGAAAAAAATCTGTTACCAATTTGTAGTCCTTGTAAGTCTGTGAAGTTCAAAAGGGAAATTACTTTTGGTGGAACTGCTAATGACTCAGAAATCTGAACATGACATGGCCCCAAGTAGACATGGCTTTCTGTCAGCAGTCACAAGCCGGAGAGGTTGGAACTGTCAGTTTAATCTTAAACAATGTGTTCTACTTTATCATTTTAATGTAAAACTAAAGTAAATGTAGTGGAGTAAAATTATAATAATTATCAGTGAAATGTAATCCAGTAGAAGTATAAAGTAGCATACAATTTAAATATTCAGGTTAAGTACAAATACTTCAAAACTTTATGTAAGTGCAGTCCTGAAGTATATAAACTACATTTCATTTCCCCACTCTTTGTCACGCACATTCATTCACACACTGAGATCAGGAGACAAGAATACAGATGCAACACCAAAACCAGCTGATTACTAGACTGGCATAAGTAAAAAAGCTGTGAAATAAAATTTTGCACAGTATGATTTGCCTGAGGGCCTGCTGTAAAAATCTTCTGTCTGTAATCCTGCTGTCAAATCAGATTTCTTCTGATCACGTAAAACATTTGGCCTCAGTTCCACTCTGACGACACCTTAGTGGTCTTACTGACAGCCAACTCCCACACCAACTTAGAAAACATAATCATTTATTTAAATTACTGACCAATGTTTATACTGGAATACAAAGACATAGAAACATTTTTGCAACACTGGATGGACAGATAATGGTAAGCTATGACTGATGTGCTTCACTAATTTAATTTCTTTTTGAATAAATACATACATAACTGCATACATATGTATAGACTGTATATATATATATCTTTGTGACACACACTTTCAAGCAAAAATAGCATCACGTCACACAGCAATGTCCTCTGTATAAAGGGGAGGTCAGCAAGGCCTTTTCAGTTCAGTTTCAATAGATCCCTCTCCAGGGCAATGAATAACCTCAACTCCACAAAATGCACAAAGAGAAAACGCTACAACACCTGCACTGCAAATATCGACTGTGAATCTATCACATGAAGGTTGCTAATCTGTAGCAGAGTCTCAAAACAATAGAGGTCAATAATTATTGAGATTATGAATAATTCTTTGAATTTATCAGAATAATTTCACTTGTTTCAAAGCTGAACAACACGTTTCAGAAGGGTCCCTGGACATGCCATAGTGGAGATATTTGCTTATTTTCTATAGAAAATTAGCAGAGCATGTGAAATTATTATGGAAATAAGTGGTATGCTTATTATATGGATGATATAATCTCACATACGATATGAGAAAAGTTTTCAGACTGCATATGAGACTGGGCGCATCTTAACACGGTGGCAGCTTCCTCTCGTCGGTCTGATCAACAGTGTTGATCACACTGAACTAAGCTTTATTTCTGTCATGGCAGTTCTGGGATGGAGTGCTGCGATTATCCCATTTTAGTCCGGGAATAAAAGGAAACCGGAAAACGTGCTGTATTTGTTGTTGTTTCCGCCGTGCGCCTTGCCGCCGTCCAGTTTGACATAAATCTCGTCCCCTGAGTCCAGATGCAGGACGACGCTGTTGCTGGCATAGTCGTAGTTCTGGTCTGCGTCCTGTGCTATGGCGCTGGCTCGGACCTGCAAATGGAGAGAGAGAGAGAGAGAGAGAGAGAGAGAGAGAGAGAGCTGTCACCCAGCTGCAGGACCGACCGAATAGCTGCAAGCGCGCTCTCAAATCATAAAACCCCTGACATGTATGTTCACAGTTCTCCACAGTGCGCGAGCAGTCAACAAATTTATTCGCCAAACTGGGTAAAATCCGCACGTGCATACCACAGGTTTTGAAGATACAGAAAAGGAAAATTTACCTGTCCGTTTTTGCACAAGTCTGCCCACATGCTTGTCCCGTCTCCTCCGCGCATCAGCACATGATAAGTGAAGTAGTAAATCCCAGGCACTTGACATGTGAATTTGCCGGTTATCGGGTCATAGTGGTTCCCCAGGTTAGTGACGACATCGTCGAACCTTAACACTTCGTATCCCTCATGTGGGTTTTTCAGACCCACATAAAACGCTATCTTTGCCCCGCCGACAGCAGAGCCGAGCTCTCCACCGATCTCGGTCCGCGCTGTGCCCACTATCCCCGGATGTCCCATCTTTCCAGAATCTCCTCTATCCCCCGGCGGCCCTCTCGGACCTGGTGGTCCCGGTTCTCCTGGCGGACCCCTCGGCCCGGGTTTCCCCGGCCGACCCGGCTCGCCTTTAGTCCCTTGAACAAAGGTCGGAGAAGGGATGGCGCTCAACTCCTGCATGACCTCCAGAGCCGTGGCACTTGGTTTGGGGTTGTATGGGTCACAGATCATCCGACAGGTGCCCATCATCTCGTAGTGCGCATCAGTCTTGGTAGTTTGGACCAGCAGCGGAATTGCGATGATGAGAGCCAAAACCATGACGATGCCAACCACAGCGGCGACGATTCTCTTCCTCTGGAGAGTCCGAGAAGCAAGCGCTAAAAAGTCCGTTTTGCTTTGGGACGTAATGGTGGAAGGTGGTGAGAGCTAAAAGCCACGGCAAAAAAAGAGTGGACCAAAACGGAGTTACTCAACCCCAGGACTAAGGGCAGAGAGAGAGAGAGAGAGAGAGAGAGAGAGAGAGAGAGAGAGAGAGAGAGAGCAGGGGGGAGAAACAAACACGTTGTAACCCTAAAGCCCAGTTCACCCTGCAGCTGTTGGTGCGGTGACAGTGTCACTTGGCGTCACACGGCTGACAAGGGAAATTTTCGTTTTGGCATCGCTGGACGCGGCGGATCTCCGAGCAGAAAGAGGCTTCCAGCGCTTTTTGTTCGTCTGCAGCCAGGGTTGCTGACGTAACAAGTTCAGGGCAAAGCCTGTTGCAATTTGGATTAAGACTGCAACAATAATCACGCCATCTTTATGTATGAATTATAAATCCCTCTGCATTGCCTTAAGGGAATAGGATCAGGAAGCATTAGTGACACATTGGATTTCTTGCAGACTGTTAGACAATTCCTTTATTATCTCTCTCCTTCATAGAAAAATCATCTTAATGCAGGTTATGTCTTTGAGAAGAGAGGCTGCATATAATAGCTCAGATGGAGCTGTTCAGGAGTACAATCTGCATGAAAAGATGTTGCCAAGTTAAAATACAGCAATGTTCTTTCATATTAAAACAATACCTAAACTTCACTCAGCAGTTCTAAAGAACTGGCAGAGAAATGGTCTCTGTTTTAGGGCGGCAGTAGCTCAGTCCATAGGGACTTGGGTTGGGAACCATAACTTGGGTCGCCTGTTCAAGTCCCCGTCTGGACCAAATATGGAGCGTGGACTGGTGGCTGGAGAGGTGCCAGTTCACGTCCTGGGCACTGCCGAGGTGCCCTTGAGCAAGGCACCGAACTCCCAAACCACTGGGGGTGCCTGACCAAGGCAGCCCCCTCACTCTGACATCTCTCCACTTTGTGCATGTATAATAGGTCCTGTTTGTGCATGTGTGTGTTCGGACCTGTGTGTTAATGACAAAAGAGTGAAAAAATTGAATTTCCCCTCAGCCGGATTAATAAAGTATATAAAATAAAAATATAAAAATAAAATAAAATAAATAAGCTACAACATAAGATCATTTTATGTTGATGTTTATTTAATTTATGTGTGAACTAAAAATATTAAATTAGAGAAGCTTGACCTGTGCAACTTTAATGGTCTCCTTTATGCACTGTGGACATATAAAACCTCATTCAACTCTGCTCAGCATGGATACATGATGTATAGGGGAGACCGGTTATGGTTGTACCACTTTTTGTCTCAGCACTTACAACTCGCTGAATTTTGTGCTCTCAAATTTTGACACAATGTACCTTTATTTGTCTACTACAATTAGAAATGTTTCCAAATTCTCCAGCTATATTACAGAATCCATTATTTAATGTCAAGTACAAGGAGTTTAATTGTAACAACCTGCCCCACTATCAGGGTAAGTAAGTTCTAACACAACCTGGGGTCATTAGTAACAGTAACAGTGAAGAACTAAAAATTACACAAAAATACACTAAAAAAACCCTGGATATATACATTAATAACCAGTTCCTACCAAAGTCTAACTTGCTAACCTGTACCTGTCAGATGCTTAGTACCTCCTGAGGTACGAGTCCAAAATGCAAGTCTGCTGCCTCAGGTAAGTAACCAGCAAAGACATCCTGTTATTACCCATTTAAGACTGTTTGACTGCTGTGATCGCTCACATAGGGCAGCTGTATTTATCCTCCTTCTCTGAGGTTTTGTGTTTTTTTGTAATACCTGCTCAACAGGGCCGGCCCAAGCCTCCGTGGGGCCCTCATCAAAATTTGATTTTGGGGCCCTCTATTACTGCCAATAATACTGATTATTGATCATTCACACACCTACTATAACTTATTTCATGTTTTTCTCTGTCATTACGGATACACTTGTAAAACTAGATGTGAGAACTTTTTGTTGTAGTTAGATTGTAATCCACAGTGATTTAGGCCATGGAAGCAGACAACAGATTTGCAAACTTGCTGAATATTTTTTCAATTAATATTTGGCTATGTCTGCAACTCCCCCTATTGGCCACACAGAGAATCAATACATCCTACAATACAACTTCAAAGAGCAGCCCGGCATGTTTTACCCATATATGGTTTTTAATCTGAAATGGTAGCAAATTCAGCTACAAGAGCAGTCTGGGGTTGATTTACACTTAATATTTAAAGTGATATAGTACCAAGTTGGATGCCGAATGTCATCTAGGCAAACTAAAAGTAACAAAATAAACCAATCATTTACTGTAAACACAATCTGCTTTATTATTTTTTGTTTGAAATAAACTGCAACACAGAGGTGACAGTGGGTACAGTGGATGGAGCAAAGGATGGAGATGGACCTAAGATCAAAAACAGCAACAAAAGCTAGTCATGTTAGATGTCAAATTACACTTGAAAATTATGCTGCTTATTTTCTAAATAAAATAGTACAGCTAGAGCTTGTAATAAGAAAATAATCTGCCAGTGGAACAACTGAAAATTGCTTGAGAAGTTTTGAAATAATATGCATTTGTCTAAAAACATGTCCCTTTTCATGTGATTATGTCTTATATTAAAAATTATTCATCTCAGAATGTTCTGCAGTACACTGAGCAATTACAAAGGCTGTTTTGTTGTTAACTTACCAGGTAGAGCTGAGGTTGCAGCAGACACAGAGGGGACAGT